TTTTTTTTTTTTTAAAAAGATGACCGGTAAGGGGATCTTAACCCTTGACTTGGTGTTGTCAGCACCACGCTCAGCCAGTGAGCGAACTGGCCATCCCTATGTGGGATCCGAACCCGGGGCCTTGGTGTTATCAGCACCGCACTCTACCGAGTGAGCCACGGGCCGGCCCATGTTTGATTTTTTTTAATGATATTTATTTCTTTGTTGAATTTGTCATTCAGATTGTGAATTATTTTTCTGATTTCATTGAATTGTCTGTGCTCTCTTGTATCTCAGTGATATTCCTTAAGATAATTAATTTGAATTCCTTTTCCAGAAAGTTGGCAATTTCTGATTCTTTAGGATCAGTTGCTGGAGCATTACTTTGTTTTTTGGGGGGTGTCATGTTACCTTGTTTTTTCATGTTTCTTTCCCTGCATTGATATCTGTGTGTCTGGTAGAACAATCACCTCTTTGAGTTTTGTAGAGTGGCTTGTGTAGGGATAGACTTTCACCTGTAAATGTGTTTTATGGTATTGATTGGGTAGAGTGCAATGGCTTTGTTCAGGATGGATATAGTAGTGTAGACTCTGTGTAGTTTCTTTAGCCATAATCCTCTTTCACTATGTCTGCAAGTGACTCAGTAACCCATGCTTTGGAGGTTTGTGGTGGCGGTGGCACAACTTTGTTGGGGCAGGTATTGCTGGGTTGGTTCATGGGCTGGGGGTGTGCATGTGCATCCTGTGGGTCAGTCATCTCAGGAGCTGGCTCAGTGGGGGTTCAGTTGCCGGATTAATTCTCAGGCTGGGGTATTGGTGTTTTGTGTGTCAGGAACTCTGGGACTGGTTTGCTAGTGTCAGGGTCACCATGCTGCTTCTCTGACAAGGGGTGAGCCCACCAGGGGCATGTTAGCCAAGCTGTTTCTCACTCAGGTGTGTATGTGCGATGGCTCAAAGACTTGGGGGGCGCGGGTCTTCTAGGGTAGTGACAGCAAGCTGTTTCTCTGAGCCAGGAGTGTGGGTGCACTTTGGCTTAGCTAGCTAGGTATGGGTCTGCTGGTGGTCCTTAAGCTGGATCACTTCTTTAGGCAAGATGTGAGGTGGTGTTTCCCTTGGAGGTTCAGGAGCTGGTCTGTCAGGGGTGGAGCTGCTGAGCCATTTCTCAGGAACTGGGTAAGGCCACTAGGTGGGGACTGTTCAGGACTGAACTGCCTGGCTGCTTCTCTGGGAGGACACATTTTATTTCCACCGACCCAAGGGTGGATTCATTAAGGTAGAGACCTGTGAGCTGTTTTTCTGGGTTGGAGGCTCAGGCACACACAACTCAGTCAGCTGGCAAGGCTGGGGGGTAGGGGAGGAATGGGTACAGTCCTCCTGAGGTGGGTCTGCATTTCTGATGTCTGGGAACGTGGGGGTACATCAGTCAGCAGGTCAAGGGTTGGCTTCCCAGACTGCAGAACCAGAGTCACAGCTGCTGTGAGCCCGGGCTTCAAGCTTCCGAGAGCAGAGTGTTGTAGTCTCTAGTGTGAGTGTGCTGGGAGGAGGGTAGAGTCTTAAGGCTGGGGAAGTGCAGTGGCTACTGGCTCCAGGGCAGGGCACATTCCCATAATGGCTCTGATTTCAAGATGGCTCCATCCTGCATTGATCTCTTGGGTCACAAGGGTGGGGGGTTGGGAGTGCACTGCTTGTACAAGTGTTCTAGAGCAATGCATTGTGTGTTTTTTAGGCAGCTCCACACACTTGGCTCTGGTGCTATCCTGCAAAAGGATCTGTGGGCCTCTGATGGGGCTGGTGTAGGTCTTCTGCCTAACGTTTTGCCACAGGGGAAAATTCCTCTTGCGCCCAAACTGGTGTCAGAGACTTGCCAGAGACTTGCTAGCTAATCTCTCCTCTGTATGCTGTGTTACCCTGGGCTTTCTTCTCCACAGGGATCTCAGCAGTCTCCTGCTGCACTCTTGCACTCTCCCATGGATACTCCTGTCAATATTTAACTGTCTGTTAGTTGTTCTGGTCTTTTTCTCTGGGAGGAACGCACCCTGGCCACCTCTAATTTGATATCTTGCCCCGCCTTCCCCTACAATTGTATCTTTGACCAAAATTTGTGATCATGCTGCACTTGCTGGTGTGTAACCTGAAATATTGTGGTGCCTTGATGAAGGATTAATTTCTGCTCTTGTCTGGGGTCTCATTCCCCACTCAAGTGTTGGTGAAATTAGAGGCTATCTGTCCCATCTCACGCGTGGCTTGCTGTGGCTCTTCTGAAAAGTTGTTTGCTTCTCCTTGTTTTGTTTCTATATGTAGGGAGAAATCGCTAACATTCTAGAATCTGTATGTGTGTGCATGTGTGTCTGTGCATGTACTCGTGTATGCAGAATCAGAAGTACCATTCTTTTCCATAGTTGGAGAATAAGAATTCTTAGTTTTAATCATTTTCTGTGAGATTCTAGGAACATGTGTTGTTCTCATGGGGTCTGGAGTGGTTTTCTGTAATGACCCTGCCCTTCTGTTTCTTTCCCTCTGATTGGTTTGAAAGGTCACCTCCTTCCTGGCTCCACCACCCTGCAGAAGAATTGGCCTGATGCTCTTGATGGGGCCAGCGCCAGGTCCCTTGCCACCTGGATGGAGGTATCCACCTCTTGAGGGTGCTCTTGTCCCCTTTCTGCCCCATGATGTGACCATCTTACTGTGTTCCTGTCTGTGGCACTTAGCCAGGAAGTCCCACACCTGAAGGCCTTTGGCTGGGTAAGGAGGTGGTTCTTCACACCTACTTTTATTTCCAAGTAAAAGTAGTTAGTATTTACTACTTTTTTTGGACAGCACACTGAAGGTGCTGGGCCTTGGATTTTTACAATACTCCAAGTGTTAGTATTTGTGTAGTGGCCCCTCTTGTGCTGGTGTTAGTTTGAATCCTGCACTTCTGTTTGACCTTGGGAAAATCTGTTTGTCTCTCTAAGCCTCTGTTCATTTTCCTGTCTACACTGGGGGCAGTGTTGTATATTTTACCCCGTGATAGGTTGTTTTGAGAATCAGATATGATATTTGAAAGTACTTCTTTGAAGCACCAAGTGATACTGGTGCCTTTGCTTGCTCTTCCAACACACCTGCATCTGGAGTGTCTGTTTCTGGATTCTCTGGTATAGCCTATAAGGATACCTCCAAAGATGGCATTTAGCTTAGGTGGACGTGGGAGGAATACTGCCCAGTGCACTCTTCTTGTCTGACCAACACACCTGCATCTGGAGTGTCTGTTTCTGGATTCTCTGGTATAGCCTATAAGGATACCCCCAAGGATGGCATTTAGCTTAGGTGGACGTGGGAGGAATACTGCCCAGTGCACTCTTCTTGTCTGAGGTGTCTGCCTCTGGTTCTGCCTTCCTGGATGGAGGGTGGTTGATTATTAGATGTTGGGACAAGGTGTGGGTCATCCTATGGCCTGCTGTGAAACCCATCTTTTGGGTGTTGAGTGAGTCACCTGAGAGGTGTTCTTTACCTTTATTTAGTTTGGCCTGTTATTGACGGAGCAGGTATTGTGGCTTCCTTGTCTTTTGTGACACCGGTATTACCATTCCAGCTATAATGATTGCGTCTGCTGTAGCTGCTGACTGGCTTCTTTTAAGTAATGAAGTTCCATTTAGGAATGTGTGAAGCCATTGCTATGTATTGGTGTAGTTTCCTAGGGAAAGAGCCCAAGTGTATCTCTACATGGAAGGTGAGTTTTCTGAAAAGTGTTAAGGAGTAAATATTAGTAAACAGCCTCTGCTGTAAAGTGGAGACCATAACATCTGCCTCCTTGGAAAGTCAGATGGAATAGTGGTTGTAAAAATACTTGTATAACACTGGGCTGGATACCTGGGTAGGCTAGTATAGGGCCTGCCACAGCCTCAAAAAGTTTTTAGGCATGGGTTTATGTAACACCAAGGTCAAGGGTTCAGACCCCCATACTGGCCAGCCACCAAAAAAAAAGAAAAAGAAAAAGTGGGTTTTAGGATCGGAGGAATGTCAGTTTCTTCCTGTAATCTTTTTGGTTTCCCATTATTCTCATCAGGCTGTTTTGCTGGGTGTTGAGGTGAGGCCTGAAGAGTTGGTGGGGGGAGGGACACTGGAGCCAGATGCCTTAGTTCTTCACCCTGCAGGACACTGGATGAGCAGAGGCTGGATGATACCCAGGACAGTGCAGAAGAGACACATCTTGGATTATATCCTGTGATCTGTCCCCTTGTCCCGAGACACTGCCATGTTCAGCCTGGTCAGGGAGAGGCTTTGCCATGCCATTCCTGTGGTATATTTTTCTGTGTTTTCTCTCCATTTTAGGAGGCTGAACGATCCCTCTGTTGTCACCCCATTCTCCAGAGATGACAGAGGTCATACACCTCTTCATGTGGCTGCTCTCTGTGGTAGGTGATCTTGGGCTGGCCTCTGTGGGTTATCAAGGCAAGGGGATGGTGCCAAGGGTGGCCCATTGGAGGCCTCACTGACAGGGTGGTGGCAGTTGGGGTTGTGGAAGGGGCCACATCGTGGGCTGGAAAGAGAAGAGCAGCAGAAGTTCCCCAGGCCTCGATGGCCAGTTGCCACCTCCTGGGCTGGAAGAGCACCTGTATGTGGTTCTCACTGTGTAGAGACACTGCTGACACTGCCCCCTGGCTGTGGGCCACCACGCTGGGAGAGTAGTCTCAGAATTGTCAATTTATCTTTCTGTGTCTTTTGGATTTTGGCCATCCTAACTGGAGGTGTCGGTGATGGGCCAAAACAATCATATACATTGTATATTGACAAAATAAAAATAAATAAATAAATAAATAAATAAATAAATAAATAAATAAATAAATAAATAAATAAATAAATAAATAAATAAATAAATAAATAAATAAATAAATAAATAAATAAAAAAGAATTGTCAATTTAGGGTTCTTGTAGCCTTGCCTTTAAAAAGTAGTTTTGTCTTTTAAAATGCACATTCAAGGTCGAAAATACAAACTCCTCCAGTGTCATCGGCCATCCTCCTAATTTCCAGAGATAATTTTGATTTATGAGCATCTGGAATTTCTGCATACTTACATGCATATAGGTATAAAATATATGACATTGTGGGGCTCACACTGTTCTCTACTGTACTGTTTTTACTTGGCAATATATAAGAACATTTCTCCTTTTTATATTTTTTAATGGCTGCATAATATTCCATCCTATGAATGGACAAACAAACCATGGAGTCTTCTATAGATGTCTAAGGCTCTTTTCCATTACCTTTTATTGCTGAGAGGTGGACTTGAGCTGGGTCCCCTCCAAGGTCCACCCCAAAGTGCTCTGAGTCTGCAAAGCCTGACTTATTAGCTCTGGTTCCTCTCCGGCAAAAAAAAATAATCTCCTGGCATGTTTCATGCCAGGGAATGAGAGAGTAAAATAGTGTCATGGTTTCACAGAGAGGGTTTGGAAAGCCTCGCCCCCTTGCTTCTCCATTGTGAAGTCCTTCTGGTCTGCAGGGCAGGCATCCCTCATCGACCTCCTGGTGTCCAAGGGTGCTGCAGTGAATGCCACGGACTATCACGGGTCGACGCCACTTCATCTGGCATGTCAGAAGGGCTATCAGAGCGTGACGGTGAGCAGTGGAGCTGTGGCGGTGTGCCATCATGGTGTGCCACAGCAGTGCTCAGATGAGCACAGCTCTGGGTGTTGACTTTATGGTGAGGTTGTGCTGGTTGTGCCTCAGTCTCCCAAGGTTGTGCCTCCTTCGTGTCACACCAGCTATGCTGCAGTAGTGCAGTGAGGGCTGAGAGCGTCTCCCTGGCTCCACTGGACAAAATCGTCAGGTTTCGATTTGAAACTCCCTGATCATCTGGGGGAAGAAAGGGTGGGGCCATAGACTTTCCTCTTTGATCTCTGTACTTTTTGTCAGAAAGGATGAGAGTGATGGCGTCATTTTAATAGTAGTATGGGTAAATTAGATTTAAGATGGGAACAGATGGCCTCCCCGCAGACCCCCGAGCTGGGCTTCCTGAGGAAGTGGGGCCCGCGTTGGCTGTCTTGCTGTGCTCACCTGCCTTCTTCTGCCTCCGGAAGCTGCTGCTGCTGCACTACAAGGCGAGCGCCGAAGTGCAGGACAACAGTGGGCACACTCCTCTCCATCTGGCCTGCACCTATGGCCACGAAGACGTAAGTGGCTCTTGCTGGTTTGAGAGGCTGTTTTCCCCTTGCCCTCTCCTGGAGAAATGTGGATTTCTAATTAGTTTAATATTGTCTCTTGTGGTGATGATTATTAGAACATTGGGTGTGTAATTATTTTTTATTTAAAAAAAATCAATATATTACAGATACTATATTGAAGTAACAGAAATCTAGAACTTAACTGCCCATTATCTTATCCTGAAATTCAATCATTTTTATTCAGCCCTGCTACCATCTGGTTTTAACCTTTATACATATTCAGTTTTTACACTGTCCATTTTTATAGTAATATTGAAAAATTTTTAAGTTTCCATTTCCCCTTACTATTACTATGGGTATGTTAGTTTTTCCTACCCACTCTCCCTCCCCCTCTCTCCATAGTGATATACAGATAGAGTTATATGTATATGGGATTTCAGCTGGGTTATGGGAGATTGATGTACAAAACTGGGATCATACCCTACCCCTTCTTTTTTTTTTGGCTGCTGGCTGGTTCAGGGATCCAAACCCTTGACCTTGGTGTTATAACACTATGCTGTTATCAGCTGAGCTAATTGCCCTCTACATTTTTATGCAACATGCTTTCCTAACTTAACACCACATTATGGAAATGCTCTAGGTCAATCAGTGTAGATCTAGCCCATTCTTTAATAGATGCACAATGATCTATCATGTGTGTTGTGTCAGAGGACTCTGAGACCACATCAGGGTTCAGTGATTTGCTAGGAGGACTCACAGGACTCAGCATATAGTCATACTCACAGCTGTGGTTTATTAAAGTGGAAGGACACAGAGCAAAATCTGCAAAGGGAAAAGGCACGTAGATGAAGTCTGGAGAAGACCAGGGACCTGCTTCAAACGGTCCTCTCTCCATGGAGTCACATAGGATGTGCTCAGTTCCTTAACAATGAGTTGCAGCAGCACGTATGAAGTGTTGTCTGCCAGGGAAGCTCATTAGGGACTCAGTGCCCAAGATTTTCTCTTTTTTTTGATGGCTGGCTGGTACAGGGATCCAAGCCAGGATTTTTAATGTAAGCTAGCCACATAAACACCCTCTGCCTAGCATGTACCAAATCCCATACTCCAAAGGAAAGCCGGTGTTCAGCATGAACCACACTGTCGTACAAAACAGTTTAGATCCAGTGAGCCACCTTATCAGTTAGGGAATTGGGGGAACACTCCCCAAATCCAAGTGCCCAAGGAATGTCGCAGGCCAAGGGACAATCTTGCAAGCAGGACTTTCAAGGGGTAGCAGTCTCAGGCCTGCTATTGTCACTCTGCTATGTACACTGAGGCATCACAATTATAGTCAGCTATTTCTTTTTGATTGGCAATTGCATTCTTTTGAAAAAATGAGGTGTCCTGATGAGGTAATGTGGAACCCTTGAGTATAACTGACTGTTGCTGCACATTTGCTTGGTGAGAGGAGCCCAGGTTGAGCTGGGACATGGACTGAGGCTGAGAAGAGCAAGACGGTGCCAGAGACTTGGCATGTTGATTAATGGTGCCATTTCCCTATTTCTTTGCAGTGTGTGAAGGCCTTGGTCTACTATGATGTGCAGTCATGCAGACTAGATATCAGTAACGAGAAAGGAGACACTCCCCTACACATAGCTGCACGTTGGGGTTACCAAGGCATTATAGAGACTTTGCTACAAAATGGAGCTTCCACAGAGATCCAGAACAGACTGAAAGAAACACCACTCCAGTGTGCATTAAACTCAAAGGTAGCTCTTTTCATCTCTGAGCAGCAATATGACTTTTTTTTTTTAAATCAATGTCTATAGATTAGGTCTTGGCCTTGATGGACAAATTGTGCATTAGTGCCTGAAGGCAGAACCTGGCCTGCACCCGCTTTCCTGCATTTGGGACCTCATTGTTAATGGGTTTTGCTTATTTATATTATTTTCAGTTTTCCTAGAAGTTTTTCTCAGTGTTCTTCCAAGAGCTGCTCCCAGCAGAGTTTGCCCCAGCCTCTGAGCACTGTAGATTTATCAGCAGATGGAGTGGGTGAAAACAGGCCAATGGCTCTGAGCAAGAAAAGCAGGAACAGGGAACAAATGCAAGTGTGTCGGAGCTCTGTTTTCCCCTTACAAATCAGTCTTCAGCTCCTAGAAACTGTATTCTCTTTTAGCCAGTTCTGAACATCATTTAGTATAGTTTCTTCTATAAATGGTTTTTTTTTTGTTTTTTTTTTTAAAAGATGACCAGTAAGGGGATCTCAACCCTTGGCTTGGTGTTGTCAACACCACGCTCAGCTAGTGAGCCAAGCGGCCATCCCTATATAGGATAAAATTTTTTTTTTTTTTTTTTTAAAAGATGACCAGTAAGGGGATCTCAACCCTTGGCTTGGTGTTGTCAACACCACGCTCAGCTAGTGAGCCAAGCGGCCATCCCTATATAGGATCTGAACCCGTGGCCTTGGTGTTATCAGCACCACACTCTCCCGAGTGAGCCACGGGCCGGCCCTATAAATGGTTTGTTAATGGTCTCACTCACCTTTTCCTGGTGGAATTTCTGGGATCATACTTTTGGCAACATGTAGTGAGAGTGCTCACTTCTCATGAGAGGGTGGAAAAAGGGGGTGGCTCATGAAGACCAGTTCTTTGTACCCTGGTCTCCCAGCAGCAGCTCTGGTTGAAGGGATGCCTGTAGAGAAGCATGCTGTGCAGACTTCCAGAGGAGGCGAGGGGCCTCTGTGAGATGGAGGTCCTCCACAGGCATGCAGAACATCAGTGACTGCTGGCTTACATAAGTGATTCCGCTTTAATGCAGGTCTCCAGTTGTCCCCCAACACAGACCCGACTTTTGGCCTTTTTACGTTTTACCAGCTCCCATTACAATTTCCAACTCTTTTCTAGGGCATTCTTTCAGTTGACATCTTATTCTAGGAGTAACACAGTTTTGGGCCTTTTTTAAAACCACTTTATTGAGGTGTGATTGACATGCAAAAAGCTGTACATATTTGATGTATACAACTTGATGAACTTGGAGATAAGTATACACCTATGAAGCACCCACAATCTATGCTATAAACATATTCATCACCTCCAAAAGTCTCCTCCCACCCTCTTTATTATTATTATTTTGTGTTTGTGTGTGTGTGGTAAGAACACTCAGCATAAGATCCACAGTAGCAGTTTTTGGAGGTTGAAATCCCTGCTCCTGGCTCAGGAGGCCTGAGCTGTACTGCCTGAACACTCACAGGTCTTGGCTTTGTAGCAGCCGGAGCTGACTGGGCTGAACAGAGCTTGCCTGTGGCCTGAGACGCTGAGGTGCCTCAGTAGGAGGGTTCTTCTGCCATGTAGCTTCTACCACAGGCCTTTCCAGAGGGAGATCTGCAGAGGAAAGGAGCGGGCTGCCTTCTTGGCTCCGCTTTGAGCTGCTCCTGCTTGAGACCTGTGGGGGCTGGGTGGGAAGGCCACACTTCTTCTGCCATGTAGCTTCTACCACAGGCCTTTCCAGAGGGAGATCTGCAGAGGAAAGGAGTGGGCTGCCTTCTTGGCTCCGCTTTGAGCTGCTCCTGCTTGAGACCTGTGGGGACTGGGTGGGAAGGCCACATGTTGTGTCTGTGGACAAATAGGCCTGGGGGTTGGGACAAGGTAGCCTTCGAGGCCCCTTCTGTGTCTGGGCTTCTCTTACCCTTTGAGCCCATTCGTGGGAAGCACTGACTGCTCCCGTTAGACAGGTGGAGCATGGTATGATGGGAGGAAGGCCAGACTTTGTCAGGCTGATCCTGAATAAGATCCCAGCCACTCTGGCCCTTGGTATCTCTGTCCAAGAGTGTGTGGCTGGGCTGTGTGAACTAAAACTCTTTCTGCACCGCATTCCAAGGAGCTAGGCAGGCAGTAGGGGATTTGGGTGATGACGCTTTGTTTCAACCCATCTCATTCAGTACCTTCATATCCCCTTTGTCCTCCTAGATTCTGTCTATAATGGAAGCCCATCATCTGTCCTTGGAAAGGAGGCAGAAGTCTTCTGAGGTAAGTCAACAGGGTTGTGCTATTTGGTTATACTGGAGACCAAGAACCTCTCCTCTGGTCCTCAGGTGTCTGTGTGCCCAGGTCTTTTCTCTTGCCTGGCTTCCATTACTGCAGGTCCCCATGCAGTCCCCTCAGCACTCTGTGGATTCCATCAGCCAGGGGTCCTCCACCTCCAGCTTCTCCTCCATGTCGGCGAGCTCAAGACGGGAGGAGACCAAAAAGGACTACAGAGAGGTAAGGCTTCCAGACGGGAGGATGGAGAAGAGGACTTGGTGGCCCTGGTGTTATGGCAGCCAGTTAAAGAGCCGTAGCCTGATGAGGGCTGCCTGTGCTCCCCAGCTACTGGGACAGCTGCTTCTCTGCTGTGGCCAAGGTCAAGGCCTTCAAGATGGGCCCAGCTGCATCTCACACTGCTTGCTGTTCACTTCTGCTTGCCTTTCCATGATCTCCTCCCTAAGCAGCTGTTTGCTTGGTTGAGTGTATGTGTATATTAGAGAGAGAGAAAATATTCTGAGAAATATACAAGTGGAGTCACCTATAGTTTCACTGATTTCAGATCATTTTACAAAGTATTTTCTCTGCCTGCCACCTCCCACCCCATAAACTTGATGCGTGTCATTCCTGACTTCTTGCAAAGTTTACGTAGACATTTACATGCACTCCCACATTGCATTTTAGAAAAGCTGATTTATAGCCTGTTTTCTTTTTTTCCGTTTAACTTATCTTAGATCTTGTTCAATGTCAGCACAGTAGTTCTGCCTCGTTCTTTAACTGGAGTGGACTATTGTATGGATGTACTACAGCTCCTTTGACTCCACCCTAGTGTTGCTCCCCCACAACCCCCAAGCTGTGACCCGCTCTTGGAGGACCCAGTAAGTTTAGTTCAATGCAAAACGTCAGCAAAGAAACTTCTTAGGGCGTCCTGTCTGAGCAGTTTTAAGGATATGTTTGAAAGATACTAAATGAGATGTCAGAATTCAACAAATTAAGATACAAGTGAAGCTTCTAAGTTTTCATAATGTTGTTGTTATTATTTCTATTGTTTTATTACCTAAATCCTTTCTCTAACATTCTTTTTCCTTTTATTAAGGTAGAAAAACTTTTAAGAGCGGTTGCTGATGGAGATCTAGAAATGGTGAGTTTTTAGAAGTGCATTTTAAAAAGCTTGCTCTTGGTTTAAGGCAGCTGCACCTGCGTTTCTTGTCTATAGTTTGGTTACCAGCCATGTAGGTTCTTTGTTCAGTTTCATGTAGAAGGTGGTGCCTTTAATGAACATTTGGCAATGGTGATGCTGTGTTTTCCTGACAATGAATGAGGCACGTGGACATAGGCACATAGTGAATGAGGTCTCTGCCTTTTAGACGTTCATACTCCAGGAGGTGGTGAGATGATGGCAAGAAGACCAGACCCTGTCCAGGGCACAGAGTGTGGGCTCAGAGTCCAGGTCCACTAGCCAGGGAGCACAGTGCGTGCCTGGTTTTAAGAGACAGCCGGGTTATGAGGAGAGGAGGAGGGGGTGGAGGCCAGGGCAGAGCCCAGAGGTGTTTGCGTGGCTCTGCAGAAGTTGCGGACGGCTATGACTACTGGGCCCAGCAGCTGAGGTCTGAGGCCTGGGGCTCCAAGGAGTCCCAGCAGGTGTCTGGATGAGGCGGTACTGACTACTCTTGGTTGGTACCTAGAGAGGATGTGGCAGCTTGAGGGAAGGCATCTGTCCTAACCATCACTGTTGGATGACAGGGCACATCTGATAGCGAGATCACTGAACAGCAGAGACACCTTTGTTAGATTCCCATGGCAGTTTCCCCAGTTTGCTTTTGACCTGCTGAAAGGAGTATGTCTTCCACTTTTAATGGAGGAGTAAATTAGATGCTTCCTAAATTAGGAGCTCTGAATAAATCATATTACAAGAGAGCTTTATGAGGATGTGTGTTTAGGGAGTGCTTTTTTCTGATGATTGAGTTGTTGGTGGTGAGCATAAATTACCGGGATCTACTGTAACAGCCTCTGGGATATTAAGAATCTGAATGTAGTTATCAGTGTATTAGCCTTTGCCCAGAGCCACTGTTAAGCCATCCAAACAGCACAGGTTTCCTACGGGGGGACTACGGCGTCTGTGTCTGGCTGATGTTGGATTGCTCCTCTCATGAGACAGCCCCAGAAGAATCCAGCATTCTTTGGGGGAAGCAAAGGAGAATGTCTTTGGGCACCTCAGAGCCATGGTGAGAGCTGGTGGCAGAGCCTGAGTGGAGAAGTGATAACCACTGCCCCATGTCATGACGCATCTGCCCTTCTTCCTGCTGTGGGTGGGCCTGAGGCCACCTGCATCAGGTCCCCATCCCCATCTTGTTCCCTGTTCTCACCAAGAGGAACTGTCTGTGGTCTATCCCAGCTGGTCTGTTAGGTGAAATCCCTGAATGAGGCCCTTGGTGTTTCCAGCCTGAGGAATTGTTACCGGTGTTCCCTGTTCTCACCAAGAGGAACTGTCTGTGGTCTATCCCAGCTGGTCTGTTAGGTGAAGTCCCTGAATGAGGCCCTTGGTGTTTCCAGCCTGAGGAATTGTTACCGATAGGTCAGGCTCAGCTTGCCCTCTTGCCTTAAACAAATAACCTGAAAGTCCAAAAGTTGATGCAAGGATTGGAAGGTTTATTCAGATTACCGGTACTCAACTAAATGTCTAACCAAGCAAACAAAGAGAAAAGAGGAGCAGTGGGGTCCGGTTTAGCCTAGTCCCAATTGGCGGGGCCAACCTATTCCATTAACAGTAATTGATAAACGCAGTTCTCCCCACTGTTTTCAGCATAAAGAAGAAAAGTATCGACTAGATTTAAATCAGAAAAACACAGCATAGCCAGGAGCCCTCCAGGGTGCACCTATACAGAAGTGGATACTATCCAACCAAACAGAAGAGGGCTCAGAAAATCAGAGAAAGGAAAAGAGAATAAAGCATTGCCTTGTCAGAATTTAGGTCAGGGACTCCAGGAGAGATCTACCAGCAGCAGAGACATGTGAGCAAAACAGTCCCAGTGGCCACTGTCCTCTTTGGTGCCCAAAGCTTTCCAATTTTTGCCAGTGATTAAATTAGGCTCTCAGATTCCAAAGTCATAGAAATGAACAATGTACCCAGCAGTAAAGCAAGCAATGCTTTATTAAAAGAGATAGACTTATGCATAAGGGGTAGCAGCAGTAAAGCTAGCCCCCCCGTGGGGAGCTGTTCAGGGTCTTTTGTAGGGAAAGGGGTTAAGGGGTGGCAGGCCAGTGTCACTGGAGGTGATCTGTTCTGTTCTTCCTGGCTGCGTCATGGGCGCATGCTCAGTAGGTCCAAAATGGCAGTAGTGTTCATCATTGTCACCCCAGGAGGGTCATTGTACCAGTCACCTTGATGCTTTGTGCGCAGGTGGGAATTCCTAAAGGGGTCAAGGCTAACCGGTAACTTCTACAATTATGGTAAACAAGCCTTGCTGAGGGGTTTTGCAACTCAGTAAATATCTGTTTCCTCTCCTCATCTCAGTCTTTTGTCAGGGCAGCCCATGGGGTAATCATTTGCCCTGGAGCGTCTCATGACTGAGGAGTGGAAAAGTAACAAAGTGTCCTCTGCAGGGAAAATGGAGTGAGTCAGTTTGGTTCACAGGCTGAGCCTTACTCTGTTTCAGAATGTCTGTTTTCAGAGCTATGGAAGGGACCTGGAGGAGGGAAAGTTTGGAGTTGAAGAGGTGTCCTGGGACCCTTTGTCCCTCCCAGCAGGCTTGTGCCAGCTTCCCCCACACCTAGAACCAGGCACGGAAACATGCTTACATTGTTTTCTTCTCTCAAGTATAATATTGTAGAAACTGGTCTTTACTGGAACATAACTTTGACCTGTTTGGGGGTCTTTTCAATACTTTCACCCATTGGCTCATGCATCCTAGCAGAAAGAATGTGGGCGTGGAGTCCAGGAGCCCGCATGTCAGTTCCAACCCCCACTTTTACTAGTTGTGTGCCCTTGGACAAGTTGTGGACCTCTCAGAGTGAATTTTCCACATTGTAAGAAGGGAGGTCTGGATCTGCCTTGTGGGTTGTGGCAAGCATACAATTAGATAATGTAGATAATGGCAGGGGATGGGGGTACTCGCCAAGTGCCCTAGGCCCAGGGTTTTAAAGCCATCACCCCGAGGCAGCACCAGTCTGCCCCTTTTTAAGATAGTAGAAAAGACTCTCCAACATAAGCTGCAAAAATGATAGCTTGATCTGTTTACCTCACCATTACAGCTTTGGGATTTAGAAAGGCCAGAGCACAGATGAACCCTGGAGTCCTAGTAAGGGAGCAGAAGTCATCTGTAAATCGCTGTGGTGGTTGAGGAAGGAAGTGTAGGCCTGATTTGGGAACACTCAATTGTGTGTGTTGTGTATGTTTGTGTGTTTAAGATACTATAGCTTGGAAGGAGCTAAGGCTGAGTTTTAAGTTCCTCTTTCTCCTTACTCTCCCCAACCAGGTGCGTTACCTTTTGGAGTGGACAGAGGAGGACCTGGATGAAGGGGAGGGTGCTGTCAGTGCTGCAGATCTTGAATTTTGTCACCCCTTGTGCCAGTGCCCCAAATGTGCGCCAGCTCAAAAGGTTTGGCTTTGCTTCTGTCAGTAGGGTTGAGGGTGGGGAAGCAGTTCTTTTTCCCCTTAGGAAGGTTCTCTGCTGCTGAGCCAGATAATCACTGAATGGCTGTTATAGGTATCCTCTGAATATGGTGAGGGTTAATTGGCTCAGGGTGGAGAGGAGCTCACACTGGAGCAGGCAGGATCCAGCCTGGGCTGCCAGTTTTCTGACTGGGCAGGGGAGTGAGCAGGGGGTGCTCACAGACCCAGTGTTTCAGCGTCTCTCTGGGCCCAAACCACATGGCAGGAGTTTATGAACAGACACGCCTGAGGGTCTCCATCCATGTGGTTGGAGTCCTCTCAGGAGGCTGTCCGCGTGTTCTGTTGCTGTCTTTGCTCATATTGCTTCAGCCTTTGGGGAGATCCTCCCTGGAAGTACAGAGCGATCCCTTATGCCCTTCCCTCAGTTTCTCACAGTATTAACATCTTGCAGAACTACTAGGCAAAATCACAACCAGGATATTGACATCGATACAATTCATTGATCTTAATTCAGATTTCCCGTTTTACTTGTACTTGTGCCTGTGTGTGTGTGTGTGTGTATTTAGTTCTGTACCGTTGTCACATGAAGATTTGTGTTTCTACCACCACAGTTAAGGTACAGAACAATTCTCTCACAGACAAATCACTTGCGTTGCCCTTTTATAACCACACGCACCTCTCCGTCACCCCCACCAGCCGTAACCCCTGCAATCCCTAATCTGTTCTCCATTTCTACAATTTTGTCATTTCAAAACTGTTACATAAATGTAATCATGCAGTATATAACTTTTTGAGATTGGCTTTGTTCACTCGGCGTGATTCCAAGTTGTTATGTGTAATCCACAGTTTGTTCCTTTATTGTTGGTAGTGTTCCATGGTGTGTATGTGCCACCGTTTGTGTAACCATTCACCCGTCAAAGGATGTGTGGGTTGTTTCTGGTTTGGGGATATTATGAATAAAGGGGCTATGAACATTTGAGTACAGGTTTTTGTAAGAACATGAGTCCTTTATTGTTGGTAGTGTTCCATGGTGTGTATGTGCCACCGTTTGTGTAACCATTCACCCATCAAAGGATGTGTGGGTTGTTTCTGGTTTGGGGATATTATGAATAAAGGGGCTATGAACATTTGAGTACAGGTTTTTGTAAGAACATGAGTTTTCATTTCTCTAGGATAAATGCCCAGGAGTGCAATTGCTGAGTCATGTGGTAATTGCATGGTCAGTTTTATCCAGAGTGGCTGTACCCAACAGCAGTGTATGACTGATCTAATTTCTCCACATCCTCACCAGCATTTGGTGTTCTCACTATTTTTTATTTTAGTCATTCTGATAGGTGTGTAGTACTATCTTGTTGTGACTTTAATTTGTATTTCTCTAATGGCTAATGATGTTGAGCATCTTTTCACGTGCTTATTTGCCATCTGAATATGCTCTTCAGTGAAATATCTGGGGTTTTTTTGTTGTTGTTGTTTTTTGCCCATTTCCTAATTGGTTGTTTCTTTCCCTTTTCTGTTGAGTTTCGAGAGTTCTTTATATATTCTAGATACTAGCTCTTTGTCAGATGTGTGGTTTGCAAATATTTTCTTTCAGTCTGCAGTTTGTAGTCTTCTCATATGGGCTTTCACAGAGTGAAAGTTTTAAATTTAGAAGTCCAGTTTATCAATTTTGCTTTTATGAATTGTGCTTTTAATGTGAAGTCTGAGAACTCTTTGCTTAGCCCTATATTCCAAAGATTTTCTCTTTTTTTTTTTAAGTTATAAGTTTACATTTTACAGTAAAGTCTTTGATCCAGTTTGAGTTAACTTTTGTACAGGGTGTGAGATTTAGAAAGCAGCTGTGCTCCCACCACCAGCACCCACTAAACCACCCAAGATGTGAGATTTAGGTTTTGAGGTTCTTTTCTTTTTTTTTTTTGCCTATGGATGTCCACTTGCTCCAGCACCATTTATTGAAAAGGCCATCCTTCCTCTATTGACCTGCTTTTGCACCTCAGTTGACTGTATATTGTGTAGGTCTATTTCTGGGTTCTCTGTTCTCTTCCATTGATTTATTTGTCTGTCCCTCCACCATTAACACACTGTCGTGATTACTGTAGCTATATACTAAGCCTTAATATAGGGTAGAGTGATTCCTCCTAATTTGTTCTTTGCCAGGATCGTTTTAGCTATTCTAGGGTGCTTTTCCATATAGATTTTAACAAATTAATTAACTTTATATTTCCTTATATAAAAACCCTATGTTGTAGCCACAGCTGGAGCCTGGGTCCTCTGCACAGAGACTCTGGTGTGGGTCTTTACAGGATGGTCAGTGAATTCCTGATAGGGAGACTTGGTGAACACAGTCTCCTTCCAGGGGTCGGGGGTCAGATAGCTGTAGGTCTTGGAGATGGCATCAAAGAGGGCCTTGGTGAAGTTGTGGAGGAGGGCAGTGCAGCCCCTGGCTGAGGCGTAGCAGTCGTCAGTATCAGATAGCAGCAGCAGCTTCTTGGGACAGGGGCTGAGGTGATGCCAGTGCCTCTGGGGGCAGGGAGGAGGTACACCAGCACAGAGCCACAGTGGCCTGTCACCTTGCAAGGGGTCTGCTTTTACACGTGCATAGTCTTCAAAATCTCATCATTGGGGGATGCCTCAGGAAAAAGTTAATGATCTCAGACTCCTTACTGGGCAGGCATCTCCTCCAGGGACTTGATCTTCATGTTCTTGACCAAGGAGCCCAGCTTGGTGACGGGGATCCACTTCTTGTCTTTGGCCTTGCCTCTGCGAACTCCACGGCATGACCCTGGCCCCGACTGTGGCCACAACCTCATCCCCAGATGTCACCAGGAAGCTCCCAGGGCCTCCCATTCCAGGGCCTCTGGGTCCTCTGGGCCCTTTTGCTGCAACAGTGTCGTCCGCCATTTGGGTTTCCATATAAATTTTAGAATAAGCTTGTCTATGTCTACAAAAAAACCTTACTGGGCCGGCCCGGTGGCGCACTGCTACAGTGTGCCGCTTGGGAGCGCGGTGGCGCTCCCGCCAAGGGTTCGGATCCCACATACAGACCGGTTCCCGCTCACTGGCTGAGCGAGGTGTGGGAGCAACACCGAGGGTTGCGATCCCGTTGCCGGTCCCGGTCCGGTACGGGCGCGACACTGAGGGTTGCGATCCGTTGCCAGACACGAAAAAAAGACAAAAAGGAAAAAAAAAACCTTACTGGGATTTTGATAGGAATTGCATTAAACCTATATAGACCAATTTGGGAAGAAATAACATCTTTACTGTGTTGAGTCTCCAGTGAAAACAGTGCATCTCTCCAAGTATTTAGGCCTTCTTTGATTTCTTTCATCGACATTTTGTGATTTTTTTTTTCCTTTTTGTCTTTTTTTGTGACCGGCAACGGATCGCAACCCTCAGTGTCGCGCCCGTACCGGACCGGGACCGGCAACGGGATCGCAACCCTCGGTGTTGCGCCCTCACCTCGCTCAGCCAGTGAGCAGCCAGTCTGTAGGTGGGATCCGAACCCTCAGCGGGAGCGCCGCCGCACTCCCAAGCGGCACACTGTAGCAGTGCGCCACCGGGCCGGCCCGACATTTTGTGATTTTTTTAGCATACAGAACCTATCTATGTTTTAACTGTCATTTTCTTTTTAGCAGTCGTAATTGGTATTGTGTATATAATATGCACTCACATGTCAGCTAATGATAGATGCATATGTCCCATAGTAAGAAAATTAATTTGACTTTATAAAATAGATATGGTGGTGTTATCCTTTGTATTACAAGATAATATGAACTTATTTTTAAAAAGCTTCACATGGGGTTACTATAACCTAAGAATATTGAAAATGACTAAAATTTTCATTCATGTGCTGTAGCTTTTCAGGTTCAGAGTAGTAGGTACATTGGGAATATGCAATTTTTGATCTGTCCCTATGTTGTTGGATATATACAGTCCAAAAATATATACTGATTTCTCCTAGGTGAGCTGCTGTGAGAAACATAGGGATTAAAAGGCAGATGATGTGTTAAAGGATATGATGGGATGCCACAAAGCCCTCAGGCAAGTCAGTGCCTGTGCGTGGCTAGAGGCACTCCTCTGTCTCTGCCCCATTCTTTTTATCATTGTCCTACTCCCCATACTTCTGTACCTCACAGTTCACTAGTTGTAACAAGACATTGAATTGCACATTAAAATATCTGTAGAATTTATTGGATAAAGTCTTAAGCTGTCTGTTTTTTTTTTTTTTTTTGGCGACTGGCCAGTATGGGGATCCGAACCCTTAGACCTTGTATTATAATACCACTCTCTAACCAACTGAGCCCGCTCTGCTCTTTTAAACTTTTTCTCTTTTTGTAATTTCTCAAAAAGACACAACACTAAATTGCTTCATGTCCATGATTAAATTAACAGCCCCCTCCTTTTCTAGCCCAGTGATGTGTCATAGAAATCTTTTATAGAAGTGTAATATACATACAATAAAGTACACCCATTTAAAGGATACAGTTTTGGTGAGTTTTTACAGATGCATAATCCTGTGAAACAGTCACCACAATCAAGATACAGAACGTCTCCGTTATACTGCTTTGCAGTCCCTCCCTCCTCTGTCCCAGGCAACCACCAAATTGCCTTTCCATCAGTATAGAATAGTTTGCATTTTCTAAAATTTTATGTAAACGAAATCCTGAAGTATCTGCCCTTTTGCATCTGGCTTCTTTCACTCAACATAATGTTTTTGAGATCCATGTTGTATCAGTTGTTCATTTTTATCACTGGGTAGTATTTCATTGAGTGGATATACCAAAATTTGTTTATCCATTCACCTGTGATGGATTTTTGAGTAGTTTCTGGTTTTTGGTTTTGTGAATAAAGCTACTGTGAACATTTAAGTACAACCTTTGTGTGGATATGCGTGTTCCTGGGTAAATGCCTAGGAATATAATTGCTGGGTTATATAGTAAGCATGTGGTTAACTTTATAAGAAACTGCCAATTTTCCAAAGTGGTTGTAGCATTTTACGTTCCTAGCAGCAGTGTGTGAGAGTTTCAGTTGCTCCACATGCTTGTCAACACTTGGTATTTTGACTTAACTTTAGCCATTCTGGTAAGTTTGTGGTGGTATTTCTGTGTGTGTGTGTGCGTGTGTGTGTGTGTTATGTGTGTGTTTTCCTACTTATCATTTCTTTTTGATTTTTGAGGTATAATTTACATATACTAAAATTCAGCCTTTAATTTAGCATACAATTTTTTAAAGAGATAACATTTTTAATCACCAAAAAGTGAATTAGATAACCAATGTTTTAATCCGTGGCCAGACACATAAAACACCGATATTAATTCCGCTATCAAAATCTCTGATTCAAAATCTCAATGTTTGTTTTTAGTTAATATGGTCTATAAATCAGTTTTGTTTGCCCTTTTGATTGATTATTCTTATATTAGCATGATTGATTTAAAAGCCATTGTGAATAATGTAGTGCCACAATAAAAATAAAGGTGAAGTATGAAGATAAATAATATAGTTTTATGACGTTTGACGAATGAATGCCTAGTCTTATAGCCACTACCATGAAGAAGATAGAGAATATCTCCACTGCCCCTAAATACTCTCCTGCCCCTCTGTAGTCATCCCCTTCCCTTATCCATATCCATTCCATGGAAACTTCTGATCTGTTTTCTGACCCTTTGATTTTGTCATTCCTGACTTTGATTTGCATTTCTTCATAACTAAAGATGTTAAACATCTTTTTCTGTGTTCATTGACTGGCCATTTGCCTGTCTTCTCTTGTGAAAGTTCTGTTCAAATATTTTGCCCATTTTTTTAAAAAAAAGTCGGATTGTCTTATTGACTTGTAAGAGATTTAAAAATTTTTTTTAATTTTTAAATTTTTTGATTCTGGTTGGTACAAGTCCTTTGCTGATGGTGTGTATCGCAAACATTTTCTCCTGTTCTTTGACTTGCCTTTTCATTTTCTTAATTGTGTCTTTCAAAGAGCAAACATTTAAAACTTTTATTGTCAGTTTATCAAGCTTTTCTTTTATGATCTTTACCTTTTGTCTTATCTAAAGAGATCTTTGTTTATGCCAATGTTGCAAAGATTTTCCTCTGTGTTCCCTTCAAGAAGTTTAATAGTTATAGCTCTTACTAGTAAGACATTTTAACTTTTGCGTTTGGTGTGAGAAAAGGCTTGACATACGGTGTTTCCATGTGTGGATATCCAGTTGTTCCAACACCCTTTGTTGGACAGACTTTCCTTTCCCCATTGAATTACCTAGTATAATAGGTAGGGCATTATTTTAGGGGCTTGCTTTATTAAAAATTGTATCTTTTGATATATCAGACCTTTCTAAACTAATAGGAATTCACCTGTGGGAAGTGTGATTTTGGATCCCACTGTGATCCCAAATTTTGCTTAGGAGCTGTGGGGGGAAGATGACTTCAGTTCCTTCAGCCCAATTTCTTATATACTCGTGACATTTGTTTCCATCTTCTCTGCACTCACTAGAAGCTGGCTAAGATTCCTGCCAGTGGGCTTGGTGTGAATGTGACCGGCCGGGATGGCTCCTCCCCACTGCACATTGCTGCCCTGCATGGTCGGGCGGAACTTGTCCCCCTCCTGTTGAAGCATGGTGCCAGTCCCAGTGCCAGAAATGCAAACCACGCTGTCCCACTCCATCTGGCCTGCCAGAAGGGCCACTTTCAGGTACAGGCTCTGACTCTTGGGCAGTGTAGTAGGTGCTTGCTTTGGCTAGAACCTCACTGATGGGAGTGCTGCTGAGGGGCAACAGTATGGTGGCTAGCCCAGAGGACAAGCACCTTGTCATCCTCCAGCCCTGAGATTCTGAGATGTGCATGCCAGGACCACTCAGCCTCTGAACACAGAACTCTGGTGCTCCTTGGGGATAGAGCCAGCCCCCTCCCCAATACCATTCACATGTGAGTGACATGGAGGCTGTCATTCTGATTCTGACCCCAGCAGGTGCTCTTTTGTGCTTGGGTGTTGGTCATCAAGGGCTTGTACCCACGGTCATCTTACCACCTTTCCATTCCCATAGCCCTTGGTCTGTGCCAAACAGTTCAGTACATTGTAAAGTACAGTCATGGCCCTGTAGAAGGGGTTCAAGAGATAATTTTGAAATGATTAACTTTTTTAAAGTCCTGTTTTGTTTTTTTCAGAAAATATCTATATTTTTTCATTTTCTTTGATCAGTTCTGCCATAAGCTTATAAAAGATAGGGACCGTATTCCAGATCTTCCATCTCTCATAAATACCAGCATAGGGTAGATAGAAAGGTCAAATGAAAACACTAGTGCTGAGTATAGTGCCTGGCACAGAGTAGACCCTCAGCAAATGTTCACCCCCCACCTTCAATTGGTCTCCTTTCTCCTGAGGGTCAGATGTAAGTCTAAAGAGCCTTCTTAATAAGCTTAGAGAAGAGTGAAAAGAATATCAAGTTAGATGATTTTTCCCAGCAAATTTTGATCAAAGTTGAAAATTTCTCTTCTCTGTGTTAGGTGGTGAAGTATCTATTAGATTCTAACACAAAACCCAATAAAAAGGATATAAGTGGAAACACACCCCTCATTTACGCCTGTTCCAATGGCCATCATGAGGTCGCAGCTCTGTTGCTGCAGGTAAGTGCCCTCCCAGTCTCTTGGGTGACATGCCCGCACTATTCAGTGTGGCACCTTCACCAGTAAAGCCCTGGCAGGGCACTGAAGACAGAAGGGAGAGGGCCTCCCCTGCGTGCCTTAAGCCAGCCCCCACCAGTCCCAGCCCTCTGGGGAGAAAAGCTTAGCACCTGCTTTAACGCCTGTGATTCTCTGATGGGAGTGGGACAGTGCCTGCATCTGCTGCAGCAGGGCTGCAGCCTAAGGACTTTGACCCTACTTTTGCAGAGGATTTGGTGCCCACCTCATTTACCACAGGCAAGTTGAGTTGTTACCTGAGTGTGAGTTGACTGGTCTGTGTCGCTGCCACTCTTTTTCCCTCTTACTAATGGTTATACCTGTTAACTGTAGGACAAATAATTTACTGAAGCAGAGAAAAACCACCTTGTCCATAACCCTACTACTGAAAGGCAACTCATTTTGATGGACTTTTTAAAAAAATGGTTTAATTTAGATCCATATTGTTTTCTATTTTGCTGTTTTTCATTTAACATAGAAAACTGTTTATTAAAACCTTGATTTTTTTTTGGCAGCTGGCTGGTACAGGGATGAAACCCTGGACCTTGGTGTTATCAGCATCACGCTAACTAGCCAGCCCCTAAAGTCTTGATTTTAAATGGTGGAATAACTATGGCTGTGCCGCAGTGTTTTTTTAAAATCTGTTCCTGCTTTGTACATCTATGTGGCTTCTAGTTTTTCTGCTGTAATGATAAATGATGTAGTAAACGTCTTTGTCCATAAAACTTTTTTCTCAGTATTACTTTCACCCCCAACATTTTTTTTTTTTTTTTGTCTTTTGTCTTTTTCCGTGTCCGGCAACGGATTACAACCCTCAGTGTTGCCCCCGTACCGGACCGGGGACCGGCAATGGGATCGCAACCCTCGGTGTTGCTTCCCGCGCCTCGCTCGGCCAGCGAGCGGGAACCGGGCCGTATGCGGGCCCCAAACCCTCGGGCGGGAGCGCCGCCGCGCTTCCCAAGCGGCGCACTATCCAGTGCGCCACCGGGCTGGCCCCACCCCCAACATTTTAAGAAAATTTTCAGACATACAGAAGAGTTGGAGGAATTTTATAGTGAACACCATACACCCACCATCTAGATGCTACATGAGCATTTTTAGCATTCCTTTTGATTGTGCTATTTCTCTTTCTAGCATGGGGCCTCCATTAATGCTTCTAACAATAAGGGAAACACAGCACTGCATGAAGCTGTGATGGAAAAGCACGTCTTCGTGGTAGAGCTGCTTCTGCTTCATGGAGCATCCGTTCACATCCTGAACAAGAGGCAGTACACAGCTATAGACTGTGCTGAACAGGTAAGTAGAGAGAGCTTAAGAGCTGAGGAAGTCCCAAGCTCCTTTACAGCCCTTTGGATTCCTTGTGTTTAAACCAGATCTGAAATAGCAATAGCCAGATCTTTGAATCGCTGTGCCAGAAGTCTGCCAGCATGGTTAGATACCTGGTTCTTGGTCACCTGTCAAAGGCGGCATGCTCAGGAGCCAGGAATCATTCTCTCGGGCAATTTTCAAAGGTCTGAGTGGTGGTGCTCCCCTCAACCCCCAACTGCCACCAGTAGGTGCCCTGTTAATACACCTGTTGCCTTAGCACAATGGAGAAAGTTTGTTCAGTTTGTGGACTTAAAGCTTGAGTTCTGTAAGGAGAACTGTGAGTGCCAACATTGACCACTCTCTGCAGTGCTGTGGATATTTGCTGTGGAGGATGGTGGGGAAAAAGTCCTTTTCTCCTGGGGAGACGGTAGCTCTTTTCTGTTCCTGTTTTCATGTTCAATCTGTATCTAGTTTTCTACTCAGGATAGACAGTTAATAGGCTGTTAATTGATACAACTGAGATGTTAGAAATTCACCATAAATCCGGCCTACTCATAGGCTTATTATGTTAATTTTTCATTTGTAGTGACATTTTGTAACAAATTGAAATATTTTAAACTTTCAGTTTTAGTACTTTCTCAAATGATGATGAAGAATGTGTTTTATTGAGTATTTACTATGCGGTGGGCCCTCAGTAACCTCAAGATAACCACACAATGACGGATCTATTATTGTCGACCCAGTTGTGCGCGTGGTTAAATACCCAGCCCAGGGTGCCTGGTAGAGGGCAAGAGCAGGCTCTAAATGCAGGGCTCTTTTCATCACCAGGCTTTTTGGCCTCCAAGTTTTATCTGTAGATGTTCTTGAACTTTTTATGCCCAGCCACATCGATATTGACATTTAGATCAAAAACAAGTAAGAACCTGCTGAGAAAGAATTAAAAATATTACTCTTACCTTTTCCTTTTCAAATTGTAGAATTCAAAAATAATGGAATTACTTCAGGTAGTACCAAGCTGTGTTGCCTCCTTAGATGATGTTGCCGGAACAGACCACAAGGAGTACGTTACTGTTAAGATCAGGAAAAAATGTAAGAACTTACATTCTTTCTGTCATTCTCAACTTGGGGTTCATTTGGAAATTCATGGGTAGGTACAGATTTTCATTTAATTGTAAATGTAAAATGTGATTATAGTCATGACTGGGGGAGATACAGCTTACTGTTAAGATCAGGAAAAAATGTAAGAACTTACATTCTTTCTGTCATTCTCAACTTGGGTTCATTTGGAAATTCATGGGTAGGTACAGATTTTCATTTAATTGTAAATGTAAAATGTGATTATAGTCATGACTGGGGGAGATACAGCCACCAAAGAAATGTATGTTATATCCTAATTTATCAGACTAGGGGTGAGCTATTTTTGATACTCATTTTCTGGTTGATTGTAATGATGTTTCCTAAAGAAAATAGGATAGAAACTCTCAGCATTATCTTGACAGTTCAGGCCTCCACTTACCAACTAGAGAGGAGGAGCAAGCTCTGGTAGTTTCTATTATGCCTCATGTTCCAAAGCCAGGTGTTCTTCTGAGAGTTTCCTGGACATCCAGGGTAAATGCTACCTTTAAAGTTTTGTTTTGTTTTGTTTTTAAGTTGCCAGTGTACAGAGGTTGATGGTAATTAGAACAGCAATTGCCAAATATCAGTGGGACTAAAGTATTTTCTAAGTTTTGAAGGGGTCTTTGTTCTTTTTCTTTTTAAAATTACAATATAAGTTTGCAGTGCAGTCATTTGAATAAACCCACTCATATATCTGGATGATCCTGAAGCTGTCTCACAGTAATTGTCTGTAGCTGGGGAATATCAGTGTATCAAAGATTTATCTTTCTGTTTCATGGGGTTCATATAGCAGTTATCTGCTATATTTCCTTAAGCTAATTCACTACAGTTTTCTAAATTTTGCTAAAACTCAGAAAATGGAAAGATTGCATCTATGCTGTGATTTTAAAACAAACCTTAAACTATTTTTGAAGTTTTCAGATGTTTATTCTTTTCTCTATAGGGAATTCAAAAATGTATGATCTACCAGATGAACCTTTTAAAAGACAGTTTTACTTTGTCCACTCAGTTGGTCAATTGAAGTAAGTCTAAAATTTGAGTTGATATTTGTGCTTTTGACTCTCCAGTTTACTTACAATTGAAGCAGGTTAGGTGCAACTTTAATTGGTTATGGAAAAATCTGCACTAATAGTACCATCAAATACTGCCACCTTGTGTCCAACCAGAATGTTTCACACCACTATCCCAAATATTTATTTTATTTTGGTTTCAGGGGAAAGACTTCAGGGGAGATTATGGCAAGAGATAGAAGTGTCCCTAATTTTACTGAAGGTTCTTTGCATGAGGTGAGTTATTAAACACTGTCTTGTAATCATATTTTTAAAATCCTGGCTTTTTCAAAAATAATCCCTGGTAAACACATTTTTCCTTGATAGTCATCTTCATCTCATTATTCCCTTCACTGTAAGTGTTAGCAACAATTAAAACTGAAATTCTTGGGGCCGGCCCGGTGGCGCACTCGGTAGAGTGCGGCGCTTGGGAGCATGGTGGCGCTCCCGCCGAGGGTTCGGATCCCATATAGAGACCGGTCCGCTCACTGGTTGAGCGCGGTGCAGGCGCGACACCAAGGGTTGCGATCCCGTTGCTGGTCGCGGTACGGGCGCGACACCGAGGGTTGCGATCCCGTTACCGGTCACGAAAAAAGACAAAAAGGAAAAATAAATAAATAAATAAAACTGGAATTCTTTAGCGGGAATTATGTTTACAGACTTCATTGATTGTTATATTTAAAAATACATTTCTGAGCAGGAAAAGAAAAGTGAGGGGAAAGTAGAAGGTTAGTTGTATGTGTGGGAAGCTGCAGTTCACAGTGTGCATAGTAGGTAAAACAGCTCAAATTCCACTATTGTTTTAATCACTAAAGGAAGGAAGAAAATGAGTTTGTATGTAGGTGGGTAAATAATATCTCCAAACATGGTATAAAATTGCTCATATAGGTAATTCTTTATGTGGCCACTTCCTACTGCACAATTTAATCACTTAATTATAAAAAGTGGGCTGACTGGTTAGCTTACTTGGTTAGAGGGTAGTGTTGATAACACCAAGGTCACAGGTTCAGATCCCCATACTGGCCAGCTACCAAAAAAAAAAAAAAACCCAAAAACTGAAATTATAAAAAGAAGCCTAATTTATAATCTGTGGTACTGGAAAGTGACTCTTCTCAGAAACATGATTTTCCTTATTGCTGATATGAAAGAGAATTTATAGTTTATGTGGCATAGGCTTTTTGGAACAAATACACAAAAGTTCTAAATTGTTTTAGAGAATTAAAGTGATTTTTATTAACATGACTCATTTTGATTTCATTATTTAATCTTCCATAGCTTTGCTAATAGACATGCTGCTTGGTGGGAAACCCACAAACTGCCTGAGTTCAGCCAAGTGCTAGCTTTTCCCTTGCTAGCTATGGGAGTTTAGGCAGACTGCTTAACTTTGCTGATCCTGTTTCCTCAGCTATAAAATGGAGATAATAATCGTACATACTTCTTAGATTAATAAAGATTAAATGTGAAAACATGTAAAGCATTTGTGTCTGACACATGCAGTATGCACATGCCACACTATCACCACAAGGATGTTAGAATTGAAATTATGCCTGTAAAGTACTGAGCACATCGACACAGTAAGCACTCAAGAGTAGCTGTTATTGTCATGGTGGTTGTTTGATGCACCATGCAGATATAAACTGTTGAACTGTACCTTTTCTTTAGCCAGAGAGGCAAAGAGCCACACTGAAACATAATAACCTGCCAGACCGAAAGGGATCTCAGAGTGACAAAGGAAATAATGACTGGCCCGAGGGGCCTGGACTGAAACATACTGCTCCTGGAAACAGGCGAATGCTTCGCAGACAGTCAACAATGCAGTAGTATCCAAGGGCCCACAGACTGCTGGCAACTTAACCACTCCCCAAGAGGCTAGTACTTCCTAGTCTTAACAGTAATAAGGAATTCTAAAATTTGCTGAAAAGAAGTGGGTATGCAACAAGAAGATGCTGAGCATGAGTACGGTTTAGAACTAAATGTACTTGCAAGTAACTGGCTTCAGAGAGTAAATCTTCAGCAGAAAGTTCCTGAAAGCTTTTCTGTGGTTGAGGGAAAGAATGCAACAAAAAAACTTATCACCGTCTCTCTCCTCTTCAAAGCTAATGAGTACTCTTGAAAAGGAACGGACAAAGATTCCAATAGTGTCCAGATCCTTAAGTCCAGGGTGTTTCTTTTTAAGCATTAGGGTTCACTGGATACAGGGAGAGGTTTCACCACCAGATTCTGACCTCCTTCTACTGAAAGGTGCTAAATCTCTGTGATGTGTATAAATTAGCAAACCACAAGCTAAAAGAATTCCCCCATCTGGGATAAGCTGAAGAGAAGTAATTTAAGTTTCATGGTACCGTGGAGGCCAGGCAGAAATGTCACATCTGAATGAAGAAAGAATCTGGAAAATGTTCTTTTGCAAAGCAAACTTGAACCAAAAGATACCTAAATGCCATTTTGATGTTCATTTTAGTGAAAAGACATATTAGACTTGTACTACACCATACATATAGCAAAAGTTGGGTATAATTTTCCTCCCAACAAAGTACAGATATTTGGTCACTGCTTATGCACTTGCAGCAGTGTCCCTGGAAACATCCCTTTCTGTTAAGAACCTCCCTTAAATGTCACACCTAATGGATGGTTTCTGGACTAGAGAGTAGATTTGGCACATCTTTTCTTAGTCTTTTGATTCAAATTCAAAACTTACAGTACAAACCAGGTCAAAGTTACTTTAAGTTAGAGTTTGCCATTTATTCCTTTTTATAAATTTCTATACATTATGCTGTTATTTTTTTATGTTATTGGTCTAGACCCGCAAACATGGTTTTGTCCTGAGTATGTTTTCAAATAACTTTGTAATAGGGAAATGGTTTTGTGCATGTTCTTGGAAATACTTGTGTATGTATAGAAGGGAGGGGTTGATTATTTTTCTACAAAGTAATTTATGATTTCTAATTTTCTAATGTGCCTTGGATATGTGCCAAATGATGGAAAAGAAACAGTAAACTTTATGATTCTTGAGCGTGTCATGGTATGCTTTTTTTAGTTAATGTTTTGCTATGGAGAGAGACATGTTTCTCAGCCTCTCTGCTATAAACATGTGTTTTGTGTGTGGAAAAATGGTCCCCTATTGGATGGATACACATTTCATTTTTCAGTTACAGATGTGTGATTGAAACACGTACACTTGATCATTTAAAGCAGATCATTATCCATCTACCTGACCGGGGCTGATTTAATTTAATACAGTAGGTACAGTGCCTAGGACCCACAAAAAAGTTTTCTTTTAAACTCAGAATAAAATGACTACAGCTTCCTAGCCCAAACAGGAAATGAGCACTGTTGCTTTGCTGATTTCTTTGTTCTGATTTTTCCTCCTTTCCCCCTCTTTTAAACAAAACAATCTTACTGACTTAAGTTACTGTGGTTCTATACCATCCTAATTACGAAATTATATCCTATACAGGCATTCTCAAGATGAAAATACATACATTTATTACCACTAAAATTTTTGGGTGGTACAATATAATGTCAATATATATCTGTTCATTTATATCCTTTCATATATATCCGTTTAATTCTAACAATGCCTGGATGGCAGAATTGTTAGATGAGGAAACAGGTTCAGAGAAATAAGGGGGCTGAATTGTCTAATGTCCCTCCAGCATCTTTTTGTAAGTGAGGCCTAAAGCAAATTCACCTGTAACTGGGACCCTTTTTTCAAAATCCCTGACTAAATTTTGACTATTAATGATAATTATGTTCCTTTAAAAAATTGTAGATGTTCTTTACAGTTCTACCCATTTGTTTATTCAGGAATGTTTGTTAGACACTTATTCCAACACTGACTTTCTTTATTGACTATAGTTACAAATTTCAAATATAATAAAATTTCAAATTAATTTAAACATATCAGCAGTATGCTGGCTAAAGCAGAGACTGGGATTGTAAACCACATTTCCTGTCACTTTTCTGCTATGAATCCTATGCATCTTATTAAATGTTATTAATATACTCCTGGGCTGAGTCTCACAGGACTAAGACATTTAAAAGTTTACACCAAACAGCTTAGTTGATAATTAAGTTTAGGATTTAAACTTACGAGCAAAGGTTTTCATAACCTAATGGAAGTAAAGCACAATATAAGAGATAACATCTGCTTTAAGCCACCTGCAAGTTTATCAGTGAAGAACCCGGAACATTTCTACCAAAATGTTTAACTGAACTGTCTCAATTGGATTTTAAATCATTACAAGTCTTACAAACATGTGTATTATTGTTGAAGTATTATTACCAGTATGAGTCAGTTATTTTGATCATTTTTCTCAATGGGAGTATCCAGTTTTGGATAGGAGTGATATTTGTAAGATAATTTAATCTCAGTGCTTTGAAAAGCAGATTACAAATGAGAACAAACCTAGGAGGTTTCTTACATTAAATGGAAGTACTATCTGCAGGAAGAGAAACAGCTTACTTGCTTTCAGAATCTATGTCTTTGAAATACGTCTTAGGATGTGCTCAGATGTCAAAGCTAATTCAGTTTAATCTACATGTTTTAATTCCCACAATGTTACTGGCTGTTACTGTCACTATTTTCCTTTTACTGAAGTGCCGGAGCAGCTTCTATTTCTACTAAGGACATCTTCCCTACCTAACACTAATGTCACAATTACAAAGGATATATATTCATGCCACTACACATGTTTAGAGGCTTTTGGTAGGAAGGGGAATATTCAAAATGTGGATGTGGTCACTTGGCTGTGGTACTAAAACAACATGCCCAAATTGTTTTATTTTGCATAGCAAGTTTATTTTTTAAAAGGCATATAGACAATAAACAAAGTAAACACTTAATCAGATTTTAACTTCTGTCCTAGAATTGTTCCATTAAATTCCAGTCTTTAAACATTTTTAGTTCAATAATCGTCATCTTCATCAGAGTCCATTACTTTTCTTCTGTTGAACTGGGGGGGAAATTAAACAAGTGTCATGTTTAATGAAGCGTAACAGAGATTTTCCAAGAAAAAAAAATTTCTACCTACTCTAGCAAGATATTTTTGTGTGTCTTTAACACCACTTAATGAGCTAAACAGGTGGAGGGGCTGGGGGCAAGAGCCTTAAAAATTAGATCCCCCTCAATATATTCAGCCTTTCTGCCCAAACTTCCGTATATTATGAAATAAAAACATCTATGGGCTGAAAGATGTTTTGATATGGTAATGTATATTCAACTCAACATTTAAAATATCAATCTTTTCTTCTGCCATGTGCATTTGGAGAAACTTACTTTAACTGTTGTTTTCTTTTCTGTTTGTTGGCTTACTTTTTCAAGGATTTCTATTAAACCTTGTTCTGATACCTAGGATAACAAGAAGGAAAAACAGTACTTTTTTAAACAAAGAATTTACCTCGGCAGATTGAATCATTTTATAGTCATTCTGGGGTGTGACAGAAGTGGTCAAGAGGGAAGGAGTGGTAGGACAGGCAGCTGAAACTACTAGTTATGACTATTGGTTTAAGTTCCAAATAATATTTGCTCTGTTATTCCTCAACTGAGGAGGGAGGAAAAGTATCCATCAAATAACATCCTCAGAAAAATTCAAAGTTAGGTATTTAAGAACATCTTTGTCACCACTAGCAGACAGTGATAACCATGTACACCACTGTGTTAAGTGTCAGGGATACAGACACACCACTTCTGCCCTTGAGATGCTTCACCACCAGGAGATAAGGAAGGAGATGTCACACCCCAAAAGATCAACTGGCTGTGGCTCCCACATGCAAGTGGTTCTTAGTGTGAGGGGTTTAGGGGACAGGATTGATTTGGGTAGGCTGCCGTGGCAGCAGAAGTCTTCCCAGTGCAGGTGGGGCCTGTGGGGATCTTGAAGGAAGGTCAGGCTTGTCAGAATACATCCCTCATGGTGTTATACTAACACACATAATAACCAAGGGCTTTTAGCACCACCTCATTTGCAAAACAAGCCTGACTTCTACCTACATCGGTAGTATTTTAATTGGTATTACTGACAAAACTTGTTTCCAGAGCAGGAGCAAATTGAGCTAGCTGACCCTAATAGTCATTGGGTCACACAGACACAAACAAGGTTTCACAGCAATGGCAGGAAAGGAGAAAAGTAGATTTTAGGAAAGGAAACTATCTTTTAGAATTTTTGGTAAGTATGACTATTTTCTCCTTTAAAATTTCCTCATAGGAAGAGTCAACAAGAATTCTGTAATCAGATGAAGATAAAATTGACTTTTTGAAGCCATGTTTTGATAAAGTAGACAGTCCAAGTTTACCTTCCCACTTAGTTGTCCAAATCTTGCCATCTGTATAAGGTAATTCTCTACTGCTTTAGTTTTTTCCGGCTTTACAAGTGCTAAGTTACTTACTGAAAAGAAAAAATAAATATGCAGAAAGGCATCAAAACTAAATGCACTTATATTTATATTAAATCATAAAACTATGCACTGACATTTCCAAAACACTTCACAAGCTTGTTTATGTATCTCAACCAGTAAAGTGGACAGGGCAGACAGTATTGTTAGCCCGTAAAAAAATGAGAAAACTAAAGTTCATCCATGTCAATCTCAGTCAAGGCCACATGGAGTAGTGGTAGATCCAAGATTAAACTTGGGTTCTCAGAGTCTAAACCCCATGCTTTCTTGTTTCTTAAAATGTATGATTACCCTGTGAAAAACAACTTACTTATTACTACACATACAAAATGATGGTAATCCATCTACAGCCGTCTCTTCTAAACTCAAACCGGGCTTCAAGTTACAAACTAGTACAAAAGATACTAGTTCATTCTGATTGGCTCATTTTATTTTTGTTTCTACATAGTTTTCTTTTTGGTTTTTATTGAAAAACTCTGAACATACACTAAAAACTGAGAATGCAATAGAGTAAGTCCCCATTGTCCATGTCAACTACCAGCAATGTTTTGTGACTGACTCTATTTAAGAGCTGTTTCCTACAAATTTTACCAGATATGCACTTGGAGAATATCTCTCTCGTAAGAGAGAATTGAGCTGGTACTTTTAATAACGATTAACTACATTTCCCTAGCTTTATAAACTTCATACATTTTACAGATTATCTTATATGTCAAGTGTTTTTAGGTAAACAAATATTTAATCTAGAGATAGCAATAACTGCATATGTATCTCCCCATTCAACTAACTCAAGTCAACTTTATGGAAATAAAGGAAATCAAAGATGCTTACACCTGGCCCGGGCTGACTGATCCAGAACTTGGGCTAAGATACTGTTTCGCATTTCTGCTTCCCTACAACAAAAACATAGGTCAAGCAAAATTAGAACTAATCCGTCAGCATTTCTATTGAACATATAAAAAAGTAGTTCATTCAATATGACTCTCAAGATAGACAACTGCAGTATACAGACTGCAGTACAACAGGTGCTGTGCAGACGGCAGCAGCTACAATTAAAGTAGAAGAATCCACCTTTGCCCTTGAACAGCCTGCTTTATATGTGGATGTAAACCTATCAGGGTTGGAAGGTAGGCTTTACATTTTCATAATTCAAGATGGAGTTTCAGTTCAATCACCATTACCAACACTTACTAAGTACCTGGTATGTGACAGGTGCTAGAAATTTGTAGTGGGATGTCAGGCAATCAGAAGGACCAAGTGATTAATCTGTGTAATTTCTTTAGGGATGAAGCTGGGACCCACAGAAGCTATGTGAAAGTGATACAGGTAACTGTGGCCAAGTGAGAACCAGATCCCATGTTAAGACTCTCAGTTCTATTCATTGGGTGGGGAAGGGGAGTGAAATTATAACTTTGCAACTATCCTTGCTTCTTTCTACCTACCCAAGTAGGAACTAGTTCATGTTAATATGGCAGTGGTCTTAAACTTAAGTAACAGAAAATTTTTTTTTTCTCAAATGAAGTCCTTCAAGGAACACAACACAGAAAACAGACAAGAGCAGAGCTGCTTTGGCTGAATTAGAGGAGTAGCTGGGGCTGGCTGTGGTCACTATCTGCCCCTAGCTCAGAAGCCCTAGGGTTCATGGAATGTGGCACAAAGCTCACTGCCTTTTCCTTATAGCTCCCATGTACTTCAACCCTGACACAAACTACTATTACTATATTTTACTGAATCTAAGATGCCACTGATTGTAAGATATACCACAGTTTTGTCTATGATAAAAACACCCTAGATGAGAGGTTTAGTAAGAGACCCCCTAATCAAATCTGGGTATAAAAGAGCAACATCCTCAGTACAAGGTAAACAAGAAAACCTGCCATGCAGAAAGAGACAGCAAGGAAGCTTGCATGTATCTGGCCCTGAGTGAAGGAAGAAAAAGGACAAAAGTTCCGCTGAGAACTTCAAGCTTTCGTCTTGCAGGGTTTCTATCTCAATTCACACTACCAGGGAGGAGGGAGGCGAGAACCTCAAGCACAGAATTTAATTTTAAAAAGTCTCAGATTAAGGGCCGGCCTGTGGCTCACTTGGGAGAGTGTGGTGCTGATAACACCAAGGCCACGGGTTTGGATCCCTATATAGGGATGGCCAGTTAGCTCACTAGGGAGAGCGTGGTGCTGACACCACCAAATCAAGGGTTAAGACCCCCTTACCGGTCATCTTTTGAAAAAAAAAAAAGGTCTCAGATTAGAAATGTACTGAAGTGATGGTAGAAGCAAAAGTAAGTCCTCTCTGGAAGAATCCAGGACAAAAGCCATTGATCATGAAATGCATTCCAATTTCAGATATGTTAAAATGCGAAAAAGAACGTACATCTTAGAAGTAATGAAATTTGTGTAGTTTTACTTTCTTTGTATCACTCTCTCAGGTGCTTACCATCTGTCTTCTGAACCTTCTCTGCCTTGCCTATGTCTGTAGACCTGGCACAGTGCCTGATCCAGGGCAGGTGCTCAAAAAATATTTGCTGAAGGAATGAAGGAGTTAAAAGGTAGAAATGATGCGGGGAAGGGGAAATGGGGAGTTGTCCAATAAGTATAGGGTTTCAGTTCTGCAAGATGAACAAGTTCTAGACAGCTGTTGCACAACAATGTGAATATAGTGAACACTACTGAAAAGTGTACTTAAAAATGGTTGAAATGGTAAATTTTATGTTTTTTAACCACAATTTTTAAAAAGGTAGCATAATGGGGTAATCATATTCATTCGATAAACCTGCCATTCAACGAGTATCTGCACCTGTGTGAGGTGATCTGCCATGTGCTGGGATAAAATAAGACTGGGACAACAGTTAATATTTATTGAGCACTAAGTGTGAGGCGCTATGCCCATGTATTCCTAACATCCCTATGAGGTACTTCTATTACGCTCATCTTAAGGTAATCACTGTTTAACTGAGAAACTTCAACAAGTAACTGCAATGCAAGGTATTAAATGAGGCTCCATACATATTTATTAACAAATTAGTAACGAAAATACCCTCATAATGAAATACCCATATCAACACTGAGGGTTGCGATCCGGTGCCGGACATGGAAAAAAGACAAAAAAAAAAAAGAAAAAAGAAGAAAAAAAAAAAAATCCATTCGATGAAAACACCCTTAAAAAGTTCAGATTTCCAGCCCATACCTTTGCTTTGCTTCCTGTTGTGCTGCATCCCCAGGATCCTGAAAAAATAATTTTACCTTTTAATCGAGCGATTTCACAGAGGAAACAGATAAGAACTACTCTATTTTTGTTTCTGATATGTAATAAGCTCCTGCAGTGGTAGAGGCAGCTTACCAAATAATTAAAAATCGGGCCTCACAGAAGTCAATGACATAGTTGCCATTTACTACAATGTTTTGACAGGCCTCTAAAGTCACAATCTGGTAGAATGTTTTAAATACAAACAACCCTTGGGAGGGGAATCCCTGTATGAGGAAACCGTATTTCACGCTTAAGAATAATTTCTGGAAAATAAGACGTGCCTCGGTATTAGGGACGTTGACGATTTAAATGGCGCTTCCTTCGAGACCATCCCCTCCATCCCTAACGCGCTGCTCTCCCATTCCTTACTGTTACAGTAAAGGCACTACTTGAGCATTTTAGCTACGGGATTAGCATTTACTGAACGGCTCCTCCCCGGTCAACTCCGTCGGGGCGGATGTTCATCTGTTCCTCGCTGTTCCCTCAACACCGGAACACAGCGGACCCTCAAAGAATGTCTGTCGACCACCTAGGTCAGAACAACTGAATTCTGTTCGGCTGCAACAGCAGTCGCAAGCGGCCAGCTCCGAAAGCTACGGGTCCGGAGGCGAGCCGCGGGGGGCCGAGGCTTCCCCTTGAATAACGCCAGGCCCGGCAAGCAGACTCGGACGAGGGGACCCCCTACCCGGGACAGGCCCCGCGAGTGGCCGGCATCCGCC